TTATATAAGTGGATGTGGGATACTGTTGTTGCCACAATCAGTAGTACTCGAGAATTTGAGAAACTAAAGTTTTTAGGAGTCAATATGAACGAGTGGTAAGGGTGTAATTTTTAGCTTTATTATGAAATCTCACGTCCTACATAATACTTATATAAGTGGAAGTGGGATATGTGGGATACTGTTGTTGCCACAATCAGTAGTACTCGAGAATTTGAGAAACTAAAGTTTTTAGGAGTCAATATGAACGAGTGGTAAGGGTGTAATTTTTAGCTTTATTATGAAATCTCACGTCCTACATAATACTTATAAAAGTGGAAGTGGGATACTGTTGTTGCCACAATCGTACTCGAGAATCTGAGAAACTAAAGTTTAGGGTGTCGATATGTCCGAGTGGCTAAGGAGATAGACTTGAAACCTGTTGGGCTCTCTATGCTTGTGTAGGTTCGAATCCTCCTATTGACACACATTAATTGAACAAGGGACAAATCATTCTTTATATAAGGGTGTCAATATGATGCCATAATCAGTAGTACTAGAGAATACCAAGTTTGATGTGTCAATATGTCCGAGTGGTTAAGGAGATAGACTCGAAATCTATTGGGCTATGCCTGCGTAGGTTCGAATCCTACTATTGACGTATTTTCGGCTATGCAATTTTTAGCTTTATTATGAAATCCCGCGTCCTACATAATACTTATATAAGTGGAAGTGGGATACTGTTGTTGCCACAATCGTACTCGAGAATCTGAGAAACTAAAGTTTAGGGTGTCGTTATGTCCGAGTGGCTAAGGAGATAAACTCGAAACCTGTTGGGCTCTCTATGCTTGTGTAGGTTCGAATCCTGCTATCGACACACATTAATTGAACAAGGGACAAATCATTCTTTATATAAGGATTGATCCCATAATCAGTAGTAGTTGAGAATCTGAGAAACCAAGTTTGTTGTGTCAATATGTCCGAGTGGTTAAGGAGATAGACTTGAAATCTATTGGGCTATGCCTGCGTAGGTTCGAATCCTACTATTGACGTATTTTTGGCTATGCAATTTTTAGCTTTATTATGAAATCCCGCGTCCTACATAATACTTATATAAGTGGAAGTGGGATACTGTTGTTGCCACAATCGTACTCGAGAATCTGAGAAACTAAAGTTTAGGGTGTCGATATGTCCGAGTGGCTAAGGAGATAGACTTGAAACCTGTTGGGCTCTCTATGCTTGTGTAGGTTCGAATCCTGCTATTGACACACATTAATTGAACAAGGGACAAATCATTCTTTATATAAGGGTGTCAATATGATGCCATAATCAGTAGTACTAGAGAATACAAGGTTTGATGTGTCAATATGTCCGAGTGGTTAAGGAGATAGACTCGAAATCTATTGGGCTATGCCTGCGTAGGTTCGAATCCTACTATTGACGTATTTTTGGCTATGCAATTTTTAGCTTTATTATGAAATCCCACGTCCTACATAATACTTATATAAGTGGAAGTGGGATACTGTTGTTGCCACAATCGTACTCGAGAATCTGAGAAACTAAAGTTTAGGGTGTCGTTATGTCCGAGTGGCTAAGGAGATAAACTCAAAACCTGTTGGGCTCTCTATGCTTGTGTAGGTTCGAATCCTGCTATCGACACACATTAATTGAACAAGGGACAAATCATTCTTTATATAAGGATTGATCCCATAATAAGTAGTAGTTGAGAATCTGAGAAACCAAGTTTGTTGTGTCAATATGTCCGAGTGGTTAAGGAGATTGACTCGAAATCTATTGGGCTATGCCTTTGTAGGTTCGAATCCTACTATTGACGTATTTTCGGCTATGCAATTTTTAGCTTTATTATGAAATCCCGCGTCCTACATAATACTTATATAAGTGGAAGTGGGATACTATTGTTGCCACAATCGTACTCGAGAATCTGAGAAACTAAAGTTTAGGGTGTCGATATGTCCGAGTGGCTAAGGAGATAGACTTGAAACCTGTTGGGCTCTCTATGCTTGTGTAGGTTCGAATCCTGCTATTGACACACATTAATTGAACAAGGGACAAATCATTCTTTATATAAGGGTGTCAATATGATGCCATAATCAGTAGTACTAGAGAATACCAAGTTTGATGTGTCAATATGTCCGAGTGGTTAAGGAGATAGACTCGAAATCTATTGGGCTATGCATGCGTAGGTTCGAATCCTACTATTGATGTATTTTTGGCTATGCAATTTTTAGCTTTATTATGAAATCCCACGTCCTACATAATACTTATATAAGTGGAAGTGGGATACTGGTGTTGCCACAATCGTACTCGAGAATCTGAGAAACTAAAGTTTAGGGTGTCGTTATGTCCGAGTGGCTAAGGAGATAAACTCGAAACCTGTTGGGCTCTCTATGCTTGTGTAGGTTCGAATCCTGCTATCGACACACATTAATTGAACAAGGGACAAATCATTCTTTATATAAGGATTGATCCCATAATCAGTAGTAGTTGAGAATCTGAGAAACCAAGTTTGTTGTGTCAATATGTCCGAGTGGTTAAGGAGATAGACTTGAAATCTATTGGGCTATGCCTGCGTAGGTTCGAATCCTACTATTGACGTATTTTCGGCTATGCAATTTTTAGCTTTATTATGAAATCCCACATCCTACATAATACTTATACAAGTTGATGTGGGATACTGTTGTTGACACAATCAGTACTCGAGAATCTGAGAAACTAAAGTTTGGGGTGTCAATATGTTTGAGTGGTTAAGGAGACAGACTCGAAATCTATTGGGCTATGCCACATTGGTTGAACAAGGAACGAATCATTCTTTATATAAGGGTGTCAATATGTCCGAATTGTCGAGGACAGAAACTCGAAATTTGGCTATGCAATTTTTAGCTTTATTATGAAATCTCACATCCTGTATAATACATATATAAGTGGATGTGGGATACTGTTGTTGCCACAATCAGTAGTACTCGAGAATTTGAGAAACTAAAGTTTTTAGGAGTCAATATGAACGAGTGGTAAGGGTGTAATTTTTAGCTTTATTATGAAATCTCACGTCCTACATAATACTTATAAAAGTGGAAGTGGGATACTGTTGTTGCCACAATCAGTAGTACTCGAGAATTTGAGAAACTAAAGTTTTTAGGAGTCAATATGAACGAGTGGTAAGGGTGTAATTTTTAGCTTTATTATGAAATCTCACGTCCTACATAATACTTATAAAAGTGGAAGTGGGATACTGTTCTTGCCACAATCAGTAGTACTCGAGAATTTGAGAAACTAAAGTTTTTAGGAGTCAATATGAACGAGTGGTAAGGGTGTAATTTTTAGCTTTATTATGAAATCTCACGTCCTACATAATACTTATATAAGTGGAAGTGGGATATGTGGGATACTGTTCTTGCCACAATCAGTAGTACTCGAGAATTTGAGAAACTAAAGTTTTTAGGAGTCAATATGAACGAGTGGTAAGGGTGTAATTTTTAGCTTTATTATGAAATCTCACGTCCTACATAATACTTATAAAAGTGGAAGTGGGATACTGTTGTTGCCACAATCGTACTCGAGAATCTGAGAAACTAAAGTTTAGGGTGTCGATATGTCCGAGTGGCTAAGGAGATAGACTTGAAACCTGTTGGGCTCTCTATGCTTGTGTAGGTTCGAATCCTGCTATTGACACACATTAATTGAACAAGGGACAAATCATTCTTTATATAAGGGTGTCAATATGATGCCATAATCAGTAGTACTAAAGAATACCAAGTTTGATGTGTCAATATGTCCGAGTAGTTAAGGAGATAGACTCGAAATCTATTGGGCTATGCCTGCGTAGGTTCGAATCCTACTATTGATGTATTTTTGGCTATGCAATTTTTAGCTTTATTATGAAATCCCACGTCCTACATAATACTTATATAAGTGGAAGTGGGATACTGTTGTTGCCACAATCGTACTCGAGAATCTGAGAAACTAAAGTTTAGGGTGTCGTTATGTCCGAGTGGCTAAGGAGATAAACTCGAAACCTGTTGGGCTCTCTATGCTTGTGTAGGTTCGAATCCTGCTATCGACACACATTAATTGAACAAGGGACAAATCATTCTTTATATAAGGATTGATCCCATAATCAGTAGTAGTTGAGAATCTGAGAAACCAAGTTTGTTGTGTCAATATGTCCGAGTGGTTAAGGAGATAGACTCGAAATCTATTGGGCTATGCCTGCGTCGGTTCGAATCCTACTATTGACGTATTTTCGGCTATGCAACTTTTAGCTTTATTATGAAATCCCGCGTCCTACATAATACTTATATAAGTGGAAGTGGGATACTGTTTTTGCCACAATCGTACTCGAGAATCTGAGAAACTAAAGTTTAGGGTGTCGATATGTCCGAGTGGCTAAGGAGATAGACTTGAAATCGAGAATCTGAGAAACTAAAGTTTAGGGTGTCGATATGTCCGAGTGGCTAAGGAGATAGACTTGAAACCTGTTGGGCTCTCTATGCTTGTGTAGGTTCGAATCCTGCTATTGACACACATTAATTGAACAAGGGACAAATCATTCTTTATATAAGGGTGTCAATATGATGCCATAATCAGTAGTACTAGAGAATACCAAGTTTGATGTGTCAATATGTCCGAGTGATTAAGGAGATAGACTCGAAATCTATTGGGCTATGCCTGCGTAGGTTCGAATCCTACTATTGACGTATTTTTGGCTATGCAATTTTTAGCTTTATTATGAAATCCCACGTCCTACATAATACTTATATAAGTGGAAGTGGGATACTGTTGTTGCCACAATCGTACTCGAGAATCTGAGAAACTAAAGTTTAGGGTGTCGATATGTCCGAGTGGCTAAGGAGAGAGACTTGAAACCTGTTGGGCTCTCTATGCTTGTGTAGGTTCGAATCCTGCTATTGACACACATTAATTGAACAAGGGACAAATCATTCTTTATATAAGGGTGTCAATATGATGCCATAATCAGTAGTACTAGAGAATACCAAGTTTGATGTGTCAATATGTCCGAGTGGTTAAGGAGATAGACTCGAAATCTATTGGGCTATGCCTGCGTAGGTTCGAATCCTACTATTGACGTATTTTTGGCTATGCAATTTTTAGCTTTATTATGAAATCCCACGTCCTACATAATACTTATATAAGTGGAAGTGGGATACTGTTGTTGCCACAATAAGTAGTACTCGAGAATCTGAGAAACTAAAGTTTGGGGTGTGTTTGAGTGGTTAAGGAGACAGACTCGAAATCTATTGGGCTATGCCACATTGGTTTTATATAAGGATGTCAATATGTCCGAATGGTCGAGGACACAAACTCGAAATTTGGCTATGCAATTTTTAGCTTTATTATGAAATCTCACATCCTGTATAATACTTATATAAGTGGATGTGGGATACTGTTGTTGCCACAATCAGTAGTACTCGAGAATTGGAGAAACTAAAGTTTTTAGGAGTCAATATGAACGAGTGGTAAGGGTGTAATTTTTAGCTTTATTATGAAATCTCACGTCCTACATAATACTTATATAAGTGGAAGTGGGATACTGTTGTTGCCACAATCGTACTCGAGAATCTGAGAAATTAAAGTTTAGGGTGTCGATATGTCCGAGTGGTTAAGGAGACAGACTCGAAACCTGTTGGGCTCTCTATGCTTGTGTAGGTTCGAATCCTGAACAAGGGACAAATCATTCTTTATATAAGGGTGCCAATATGATGCCATAATCAATAGTACTTGAAAATCTGAGAAACCAAGTTTGATGTGTCAATATGTCCGAGTGGTTAAGGAGATAGACTCAAAATCTATTGGGTTATGCCTTACGTAGTTTTGGCTTTATTATGAAAACACAATCGTGAACAAGGAACGTCCTACATAATACTTATATAAGTGGATGTGGGATTGATGTATTTTTAGCTTTATTGTGAAAATACACATCGATTGAACAAGGAATGAATGATTCTTTATATAAGGGTGTCAAAATATGTCTGAATGGTTGAGGAGACAAACTCAAAATTTGGTTATGCAATTTTTGGCTTTATTATGAAATCCTACATCCTACATAATACTTATATAAGTGGATGTGGGATACTGTTGTTGCCACAATAATAGTACTCGAGAATCTGAGAAACTAAAATTTGGGGTGTCAATATGTCAGAGTGGTTAAGGAGACAGACTATGCCTGCGTAGGTTCAAATCGATTGAACAAGGAACGAATCATTCTTTACATAAGGGTGTCAAATATGTTCGAGTGGTTGAGGAGACAAAGTCAGGATTGGATTAAGTTCTGAATAATCAGGAATTCCGCTTTCGTTTTTACCAGAGAGATCCGGACCATAAAATTTTTGTCTCACTTTATCATTATTTACTGAAAGGCTAGAAATATATCTTCTTTCGACAGAAAGAGAATGAACGTTAATTTGATCTTGATCTTTGTAGAGTGAAAAAGGGATTGCACTGCATCCGCACGAACCTCCTGATAATATCCATAAATGACTTGTTTTTGGTAAGAGATGGACATTACTATATGTAAATTCGGGTGCATGGTACACATCAGTACTCCAATGCATTTCTCCCTCTGAGTCAGAATAAATATGTTTTCGAAGAAATTTGACTATGCAATTTTTAGCCTTATTATGAAATCCAACATTCTACATATTACTTGTATAAGTGGATGTGGGATACTGCTGTTGCCACAATCAGTAGTACTCGAGAATCTGAGAAACTAAAGTTTGGGGTGTCAATATGTTTGAGTTGTTAAGGAGACAGACTTGAAATCTATTGAGCTATGCCTGCGTAGGTTCAAATCGATTGAACAAGGAACGAATCATTCTTTATATAAGGGTGTCAAAATATGTCTGAATTGTTAAAGAGACAAACTCGAAATTTTGCTATGCAATTTTTAGCTTTATAATGAAATCCCACATCCTACATAAAAGTGAGATACTATTGTTGCCACAAACAATAGTACTCGAAAATATGAGAAATTAAAGTTTAGGGTGTCAATATGTCCGAGTGGTTATTATGAAATTCCACATCCTTCATAATACTTATATAAGTAGAAGTGGGATACTGTTGTTGCCACAATCAGTAGAACTCGAGAATCTGAGAAACTGAAGTTTGGGGTGTCGATATGTTCGAGTGGTTAAGGAGACCGTCTTGAAATTTGTTAGGCTATGCCTGCATAGGTTTGAATCCTGCTATTGTCGTATTTTTAGCTTTATTGTGAAAACACACATCAGATGAATAAGGAGACAAACTCGTAATTTTTAGCTTTATTATGAAATCCCACATTCTACATAATACTTATATAAGTGGAAGTGTGATACTGTTGTTGCTACAATCAGTAGTACCCGAGAATCTGGTTTGATGAAGAAATCTAAGAAGTAGTTTTTAGTAGTACCCGAGAATCTGAGAAAGTGAAGTTTGATGAAGAAATTCAAGAAGTAGTTCTCAGCAAAAGTATACGCAAAAGAGAAATTGAAGATTCAGCAGTTCCCGAGAATATGTGAAACTGATGTTTAATGAAATCTGAGAAGAAACTGAAGTTTAACGAATTTTTAGTTTTATTGTGAAATCACACATCGGCTGAATAAGGAAAGAATCATTCTTTACCTAAGGGGTGTCAATATGTTTAAGTGGTTAAGGAGACACTTGAAATGCTATGCATGCGTAGATTCGAATACTACTATTGACGAATTTTTAACTTTATTGTGAAATCACACATTGGTTGAACAAGGAACGAATCTATTTTTATATAAGGTTGTCAATATGTCCCAACATGTCCGAGTAGTTAAGGAGACAGACTTGAAATCTATTGGGCTATGCCTGTGCAGGTTCCGGTAAATATGTTCGAGTGGTTAAGGGTAAGGGGTGTTAATATGTCCGAGTGGTTAAGGGAGAACGAATCATTCTTTATATAAGGGGTGTTAATATGTCCGAGTCGTTAAGGAGGAACGAATCATTCCTTACATAAGTGGTGTTAATATGTTCGAGTGGTTAAGGGGGAATGATGCGTAGGTTCAAATCCAGTCAATATGTTCGAGTGGTTAAGGGTAAGTGGTGTCAATATGCCCGAGTGGTTAAGGGGGAATGAATCATTTCTTATATAAGGGGTGTTAATATGTTCGAGTGGTTAATGAGACAGGCTTGAAATCTGTTGGGCTATGCCTGCACAGGTCAATTGGATAGCACAGCTCCTAATTATTTCCTAAAACAAAAGTTAGATTCGTTTAGATGTGTTTGCCACCTTTAAGAATGGGAAAGCTTAAGTTGAAAATCAGACTGGCTTGAAGATCAAATGCCTAAAGAATGACAATGAAGAACAATACGAAAAGTCAAAAATCCAAAGCATTTTGTGTTGATGATGGAATTAGATTAATGAGGATAGTTCCTAAGTACAGCAAGACAATATGGTGTTGGTGAAAGAATGAACAAAACATTGAATTAGCAGCCAAGGAGTGCGAGGATTCATTCTAGATTGTCAAAGACATTCTGAGTTGATGTTGTAAATACAATAGCCTACTTGATAAATAGAGAGTCGTCAATACCCTTGCTGTTCAAATTGGCCAAAAGATGTATGGATAAGAAAGGAGAGTTACAAGCTTGGTGCTAAGAGAGTTACAAGCTTGATGCTAAAGAAAGTTACAAGCTTGATGCTAAGGCTATGAAGTGCTCCTTCATAGGCTATGATTTTAATATGTTTGGGTATAAGTTTTTGGACATCAAGAACAAAAAAAAAATAAATAAATTGAGCCACTATAACATGACTTTTGACGAAAATGTCATTTACAGGGATAAAGACAAGAAGGGTTATAGGACAACAAAACAAGTGGGAGTTGAAGTTGAGCTACAGAACAATTCACATAGTGATGTTGTAGTAGATACTCGAGAAATTTCTAAGACTGTTGTTGAGGTTCCAGAGGTGGAGCAAGTGACACCTAAGCAGGTGTTGAGAGGATCAACCAGAACTATCAGAGTATTAGATAGGTATGTACCTTCATTACACTATATGTTGTTGATTGATGAAGAGGAACCAGAGCCCTTTAGTGATGCCCTACAGTTGAAGGATACAACCAAGTTAAAGCAAGCCATGGATGAGGAAATGAGTTGGATGTCTAGGCTTCAGAATTGTGTTGCTCCTTCATCTACTGAGGCTCTGTACGTGGCAATAGCTAAAACTAGAAAGAAAATGATATTGATGACAGACTATGTAAAGAATTAGGCAAGAAGCAGCATGAGAAGATTCTTCATGTAGATAGTCAGAGTGTAATACAGTTAGTGAAGAACCCAGTCTATCAAAGACGAAACACATTAGAAGACGATACCATTTCACTCGCAGGTTAGTGGAAGATGGTGATGTGTTTGGAGAAGATAAAGGGTGCAAAGAATCCAGCAAACATGTTGACAAAATGTGTTGATGTTGAAAAAATGAGGTTATGCGAAGTCTCAGTTGGTATAGTGCATAGTGCAGTGAAGATATTGATGGTCATTTGAGAATGAAATTCTTTGTTGACTACATCAGTCTCAAAGTCGGAGAATTGTTAGGTTATAGAGCCTGATGCCTATTTATAACTTATCCAATTGTTATACTTAGTAAAGTTATATATGGAAAATAAATTATTTATAATAGAAAACTTGTAAAGATATATATGAGAGATAGTTATATATATAATATATTGTTATGTTGGATAAAGTCATACATAGTAAACTGAACCATATATATATATATTCTTTAGGCAGTGATTTAAAAATGTACTTTTTGTATTCTCTGTATTATCTCTTACTGTACATAACTAAAGTCATCAATAAACTTTTAGCTAGTATTTCTCATGCATTTTCTCTCTTCTATCCTTCGTGTTAATCTAGATCCCGTGTGTGCATTGTTGTGCAATCCTAACAATTACTATAGAAAAACTTAGTTGCTTGTGGTGGACTTATCACTTAACTGTTAGTGATAAAATTGTTCATAATTTTCACTTATTTTTTTTTCATTCAAGTCAACTCGTGAGATTCTAAATTTTTCTTATCTTCCATTTTTTTATTTCACTTTTCATTTTTCTTATTGTGCTAGAAGGTTCTCCAAT